TGATGTCACTCGTTGTCACTTGGTCAGTCAGTTAGCGACTCCGACGAAGTCTGACAAGAAACGAAAATATCTTTCTGGCCATGAAAAACGACAAAAAAAGAGACTGGAAGAAGAGAAGAAGCAAGAAGATAAAGGTACGTAAGCCTATAGGCTTAATTTTCCGATAACTGTATGGATAATCTACACTAAAGGTCTTAACATTAGCCTAAATCAAGCTTGTATTAATTTTCGTTATTGTTTACATGCTAATAATAACATGCTGCATAAAATTGGTTTAGTATTAGGCCTATACCATTTGCTGTGGTGTTAAAGCATTTAACAGAACAATATAAACCCAGTTTGGCTTCTACACTAAAGTGCTAACATTAACTTACTACTCCTTATGTCCCCTTTCCATGAGCACCATTAAAGTATATGCTGCCAGTAAGCAAAGCTTCAGCTGTTTGTGAGTTTAAAGGGGCTGTAAAATGATAACCTTCTGCATTTTAAAAATTAAGTCTAACTTTATGTATAATTATTTTCTTTATTTGGATTGGATTTTAATAGTTCTATTGAAATGTTACCTTATTCTTAATATTGTTACTATTGATCTTCTTTGTGGTGTTTTAGATGTTATTGTTAATTTTGTTTATTTTAAAAATTCAAACATTTAAATGTTCCATTTATTATTCTATATAATATTTTATTTAAATGTTATTCTATTTGAATAACATTTATATACATTTGAATAACATTTATATACAGAATAACATTGTTATTCTTCTAAATTAAATATATTTTTAAAAAAAATATATATATATATATATATAAATGCTGTAGTTTGTGACTCTTAAACTCTGGTGTCAATAAAAAATTTATCTTTGGTCAGTGAAAATCACTTTATCAGTCTTTTTATTCAGCAAGTTCATCAGTGTGTGTGTGTTCGGTCTTGCACTGCCATTCAGCTCAGTGGTATCATCATGTTCCTGTTAGACATCAAACATAGTAGATATAGTTATATGGTATAGTTATAAGGTAGTCATTGCTTTTCTTGAGGCTTTACTTAAAACGGTCAAAGGGGCCTCCAACCAAATTTTACTTAGGGCCCCCAAAGGTCTAGGGCCGGCTCTGATGAGCACTGTGCTACTGTTCGTCCGACTGTTTGTACTGTATTTTATTTTTTATTCTAAACTGTTTTAATTATTCTTATTTTTTTTTATTAATTTAATTTCTTCTATGTAAAGCACTTTGAATTACCATTGTGTATGAAATGTGCTATATAAATAAACTTGCCTTGCCTTGCCTATTATTGGAAAACAATAGTAATTTCATGAGGAAATTAAAAACCACATATGAAAGTACCGGGAGTTTTTGAGAGCTGCTGGTTCGCTATGATTACTCCCGACAGAGCCGTCCCATGGGATTTTCAAATTTAAAGGGATTTCAGAGAATGAAATAGTAAAAGAACTAGAATTTATTGTAATGCATTTGAACTATCTACAAATAATAGGCTTACTTTTTAATTTTAAAATATGCACACATTCACTCAAATCATATGCCTAAAATGCCCGAAAACGGCTCTGCTATTGTTTCTTGTCTTGTCAAATTCAAATGAATTGCATGAATCAGAATCATGTGAATTATATATTAGCATATTCATTTCAAAATCTAAATGGCAACATTTGACAAAAAAGTTAAGTATTAAGGCCTTACCGCCCCTTGAACTCTTCAGTCCTTCCAGAAAAACGTGAAGTTTTTTTGTGATTGTTGCGGGCAAAAATCCTTGATTATGCGGCTCGTTTTCTTTAAAAATGCGATGGAATATGCGGGATATTTAAGCAATTTTATGCGATATAAAAACAATATACTTATTTAAATAAATCCCAGTCTGTTGTGGTTTGTTAAGGGCACAAAGCCATATTGTGTATTCGCCATCATTTTAGTTCATTTGACAGATTATGGAGCTAATAATATGACAAAATGATTTGAATTTGAATTGTGTAAATTTGAATTATTTGCAAGTGTAATCTAACAAAATTGAATTTTATGTGGTAGTTTAAATAGTTCTGAATTTGATTTTTTTAAACGAATATTGAACATTTAAAATTTTAACAAATTGAAAGGTTTTTATGGCTGAATTTTATAGACATGTATTTTCAAACAGCTAGTTTTTTTGTTCTGAATTCAAATACTACAAATATTCCGTTTTAAAAAATACAGATTCAAGTTTTCAAGATGAAGAAATTCGGAACTTCAAATTCAGTTTTCTAAAATTCAATCTCAAAAATTCAAACTCAAAAATTCAGGTCTTACAGAAAGTAGGTCACAGGTCATCCACAGGGAAGAGTAGATGATCTCAGAAAAGTCGAACAGAGCATTTTGGTCCATTAGGGACTGCAGAAGGTTTCTTAAACATGAATGATTTTTTGTTTGTTAGCGTTCTCATCACGTGAGACATTTGTCTAAGCAGTCTCTGGTGTTTGTTTTAAAGTATATTTTGTGTAAAATTGATTAGAACGCCACTGTGTCACCTACAAAGACAGGACGCGAGCGGCGCGGCGCGACGCAACACAGTGCTTGAAGCGATTGTTGCAAAGAGCTGAGAGGTCACAAAAAGGATGGGGAATCCGTGTGCTGTTGGGGATTTCACGGGTCGCGTCGCTCCGCTCGCGTCTGGTCTAGACTGCGTCGTACATGTACTGCTATAGTAAGCATAAGGTACGAGTGTGAATTAGCCATTAAATGTCTTACAATAAGCCTACCTACCTAATGCAATTGTCCTTCAATATTAAAGTCTTCTCTACTGATTGATGACTGACTCAGTAATAAAGACGGTCTTTGCCGCCATCTAAAATTACAGGTGAAATATTATGCTGCTGTTCACGGCCAGGGACTATTTTTTTCCAGCGGAAGGTAGGCTTTTGGTGATTTTATTCATGAAAGTTGCACTAATATATATATATATATATATATATATATATATATATATTAACTTTAATATGATCATTGAGTGGTAATCGCTTTAGAAAACAATAAGGTACTCAAGGCTAGTGCTGTCTCTGAATAAAGTCACGTCTGACGGCCGTTTCACACCGCATGCGTGAGCAGCGCGTATTTCTTTCGGCGTGCATGTTAATCAATGAGTGCATCCACACCGGGAGCAGGAGAAGCGCGTGAGAGTCGAGCAGGAGCGGCGCGTGAGCAGCAGTGAAGCGGGGGTTTCGCAGGGGGTTTCGGCGTCGAATCTGTTTTTGCTGCACTTCTCCACGCTCAATGAAAGTAAATACACTTTTGATGGACAAAATTTCACACAAAAAGTGCCCAAAATGCACAGAATAAGCATGTCTAGTGAGTTTTAACAAGAACTTGAGTAGGCAAAAAAAGAAAAAGAAAATGAAGACTAAAAAATAGTTAGGCCTATAGAAGATTAGGCTACCTGTTTAAACTTGTTTTTAATTATTCAGTTTGGGTGAATATATATTTTACAAATATATATTATATTTAAAATAAATATAATGGTGTATTATATTTATATATAAACTTTCTTTTAGTTTATGTAACACAGACAGCTACAACCCAAATTAAACCCAAGTGTGCGGTTTTGTGTGTGTGTTTTGTAGTATTGTAAACATATCGAAAGTATGACTGAAACGAATAGATTGGAGCTGTTTTCTGGGTTGTTTTGTTGTTTAACATTTATGTGAATGTTGTACACCTCCCCATAACAAACTTTCAAGACTATCAATTTTATAGGCTAAATTACCAACTTCTAAAACTTCGTTGTAAAGAATTGCTCGCTTAGCCTATATATGTAGCTTTGGAGCCGCTGCTGTGACACTGTACACAAGCTTCCAGTGTGGATACTCTCGCGCGTCTGCAGCTGCAGTGGCGATGTAGTTACGCTGACGCGCTGCTCAAGTGCCGCTCACGGATGCGGTGTGAAACGGCCGTGAAGCACTCCGGTTCGCGTCGTATTCACGATACAGCACACCCTCTCGTACCTTATGCTTACATGTACGAACGACGCAGATCTAGACCGGACGCGAGCGGAGCGACGCGACCCGTGAAATCCCCAACAGCACACGGATTCCCCATCCTATTTGTGACCATTGCAACAGTCGCTTCAAGCACTGTGCGTCGCACCGCGCCGCTCGCGTCCTGTCTTTGTAGGTGACACAGTGGCGTTCTAATCAATTTTACACAAAATATACTTTAAAACAAACACCAGAGACTGCTTAGACAAATGTCTCACGTGATGAGAACGCTAACAAACACAAAATCATTCATGTTTAAGAAACCTTCTGCAGTCCCTAATGGACCAAAATGCTCTGTTCGACTTTTCTGAGATCATCTACTCTTCCCTGTGGATGACCTGTGACCTACTTTCTCTAAGACCCGAATTTTTGAGTTTGAATTTTTGAGATTGAATTTTAGAAAACTGAATTTGAAGTTCCGAATTTCTTCATCTTGAAAACTTGAATCTGTATTTTTTTAAAACTGAATATTTGCAGTATTTGAATTCAGAACAAAAAAAACTAGCTGTTTGAAAATACATGTCTATAAAATTCAGCCATAAAAACCTTTCAATTTGTTAAATTTCAAATGTTCAATATTCGTTTAATAAAATCAAATTCAGAACTATTTAAACTACCACCTAAAATTCAATTTTGTTAGATTACACTTGCAAATAATTCAAATTTACACAATTCAAATTCAAATCATTTTGTCATATTATTAGCTCCATAACAGATACGATGCCAAAGGCAAAACAATGTTAAAGAACTTTTATGTTATTAAGAAGACTTCAAATATTTTATGTTCATTATGAAAATGGCGCCACAGACCTGTTTATATGTTAATATAGCACTTTTACAGATGTTTGTTCACATGAGGCGACCCGCTCCATGTCAAATAAAACAGCTTTAATTAGGACACTCTTCAAAAATATCATTCATTTCTGTAGAGCTGGACATTTTAATAAGGATCAAATGACTGAGTTCAGCTTTGAGAATGAAACCAACCTGTGTGTTCCTCAGTTTCTTCTTGTTTCACACTGAAGGTTTCTTCAATCTTGAAGTCTTCACTCTCCTCTTTAATAAACGCCATCTTTATAATAGTGTGTCACGTTGATCTCAGTCGCTTCACCAGGAGTTTTTCCTCTGTTTATGAACACTTCGTCCTATTTAAGATGAGAATAGTTAACAGAAAGAAAAACACTCTAAACTAAATCTCTGTGTGCGTCTCAATCAGCTCTAGGTCGGTAGTTCAGTTCACTGGTAAGAGAGTCAGTCAGAGAGAGAGTTAATGGACTTAAAATCACCTGATTAGACTAAAAACACTCAAATCTAGCAATACAAACTAATGAAAGAACATAAATTATACAGTCACTATATATTTAGGGCAGTTCATGTATTTAATGATTGTAGAAATCGAGATAGAAATAGAGAGTGCTTTGAATCAGCAAATCATTTTCCAAAACAATTGATTCAATTGACTCAGAGTTTCCAAAAGCTGTTTTTCTCCATCACTACTTGCCAGTGACTGAATTCGTGTTTATGATGAACTGATTCACAATATAGAGAGCGGAATGAGACGCACCTATAATATTAACTTTACTCATGTTTTCATTATGTTACTTTGCTCACACAACGTTAATAAATGGCAGATAAAGCAATGCAATGTTACATTTAATAATAAATAATTCAATCTGCATCACTTAGAAAACTTTGGAGGTCATTTAATGGTTTCTATAAGTTTAAAAACCTTAAACAGTTAAAATACTAACCTTTCTTCAGCCGAATCACAACAAATGTATGAGCGCGGCGCAGCCTTATGACATCACACCACCAAACCAAAATAAAAGTCCTGTTCACACGCTGCTGTCTACAATAAGTGCATAGAATACGAAATATACAAATGATAAAAGAGATGAAAGAAATTCAGAGTTGAATTAGTGAAATACATATTTAAATACATGTTGTTCAATTATGTGCTGCAAAAATTAGGTAACTATTAAAACGTGTGAGGTAAAATAAAATTGTATTGTTTAGGGGAGGAAATATACATTTTACCTCAGTCTTTAGTAGTCTCCTAATATTTTATAACACACACACACACACACACACAATGATCTTACTGTCTATATGAGGATTCATTTATTTCATGTTATTTCAGTGACAGAAGTTCAGCTGTTATTAATGTAATGAAGAGAAAATAAGAGACTCTAGCCCTCTGATGGTCTTCGGGGTCTATTCCACATGGAAATAACCTATATAAACATATGTTTTAATATTGGTTTTGATATAGGATTTCAATATATGTGACATATATAAAATTGGCCGTTTTCCTATATTATATGTACATATATGCACATACATGTACATATATGTGTACATATATGTGTGCATATATGTGTACATATATACGTCCATATATGTACTTATATAGGTGCATATACACTCACCGGCCACTTTATTAGGTACCCCATGCTAGTAACGGGTTGGACCCCCTTTTGCCTTCAGAACTGCCTCAATTCTTCGTGGCATAGATTCAACAAGGTGCTGGAAGCATTCCTCAGGGAGTTTGGTCCATATTGACATGATGGCATCACACAGTTGCCGCAGATTTGTCGGCTGCACATCCATGATGCGAATCTCCCGTTCCACCACATCCCAAAGATGCTCTATTGGGTTGAGATCTGGTGACTGTGGAGGCCATTTTAGTACAGTGAACTCATTGTCATGTTCAAGAAACCAATTTGAAATGATTAGAGCTTTGTGACATGGTGGAAGTAGCCATCAGAGGATGGGTACATGGTGGCCATAAAGGGATGGACATGGTCAGAAACAATGCTCAGGTAGGCCGTGGCATTTAAACGATGCCCAATTGGCACTAAGGGGCCTAAAGTGTGCCAGGAAAACATCCCCCACACCATTACACCACCACCACCAGCCTGCACAGTGGTAACAAGGCATGATGGATCCATGTTCTCATTCTGTTTACGCCAAATTCTGACTCTACCATCTGAATGTCTCAACAGAAATCGAGACTCATCAGACCAGGCAACATTTTTCCAGTCTTCAACTGTTCAATTTTGGTGAGCTCTTGCAAATTGTAGCCTCTTTTTCCTATTTGTAGTGGAGATGAGTGGTACCCGGTGGAGTCTTCTGCTGTTGTAGCCCATCCGCCTCAAGGTTGTGCGTGTTGTGGCTTCACAAATGTTTTGCTGCATACCTCGGTTGTAACGAGTGGTTATTTCAGTCACTGTTGCCCTTCTATCAGCTCGAACCAGTCTGGCCATTCTCCTCTGACCTCTGGCATCAACAAGGCATTTCCGCCCACAGAACTGCCGCTCACTGGATGTTTTTTCTTTTTCGGACCATTCTCTTTAAACCCTAGAGATGGTTGTGCGTGAAAATCCCAGTAGATTAGCAGTTTCTGAAATAGTCAGACCAGCCCTTCTGGCACCAACAATCATGCCACGTTCAAAGTCACTCAAATCAACTTTCTTCCCCATACTGATGCTCGGTTTGAACTGCAGGAGATTGTCTTGACCATGTCTACATGCCTAAATGCACTGAGTTGCCGCCATGTGATTGGCTGCTTAGAAATTAAGTGTTAACGAGCAGTTGGACAGGTGTACCTAATAAAGTGGCCGGTGAGTGTATGTGTGCATATATGTACATATATTGGTGCATATATGTACCTATATAGGTGCATATATATGTGCATACATGAACCTATATATGTGCACATATGTACCTATATAGGTACATATATGCACGTATATATCCAGCTATATGTTTACCTATATATTAGTATAATTATTAAAATCCATAGCTACTAGGCAACAAATAATAGCCCAAAATGTAGAAATTTAAATTATTTATTTACTCAAGAACAATCAAATAGTACAAGAACAAAAATAAGACAAAAAACTGTACAGAAAAAAAACCCAATTTATCTTGTTGATCTTCTCAGCTCCGTGAGGTTCGAATTGATAGTTGTGCCTATCTCCCCTCGGCTGGCTGCCGGCCACTTCTTCAATGTAGCATCTAGAGAAGACAAAAATAATAAGGCAGTATAATAATAATAACAATATATTGCTTCATCAGGAACCCAAAGTGCTTACAGTACAGCTGCGATTGGACACACATTTTGGATAAAGGGCTGATCATAATAAAAAATGCGTCATGTAAACACGTCAATTGGAAGATTCTGATTGGATTCTGCTAAATCTGAAAGAAATTCTGATTGGAAACATCATCCCCCTTTTTTTTTTAGCGGCATCGTTCTTTCATATGCACATGTCCGTCATGGGGACTGCATTGTTAACAGTCACACGGTCAATCATGTGCATCCAAAGCAGAGAAAATTCATGGATAGAAAAATTTCAGAAATGTGGCTTTAGAAGAGGAAAGGTAGGATCAAGAAGTGACCAAGCAATGAATTAGTATTATAGGTTCCAAGCAGATACAGTAACAATAATGGGTGCCCTACATTATACAGTCTCCATTGATGCCTAATAAACATTGATACAAGTAGGCTATGGTTAAAGAGGCTATATGCGTTTTTCTGAAATTTAAACTCGCGACTGACACCTGTGGCCAAAAAACAGAACTGCTCTTCCTTTCTGCTCGCTCTCGTACGTGCATAGTTCACAAGTCATCTGCTGCAAGGTCAACATTATGTTTACAGAGGTAAGAACAGTCAAATACATATATTGTTTGAGATAAGTGCTGGCAAGCGGTGGTGGCAGAGTGATCTGAAACGTTTAACATGAACGCGCTTGACGTCACATCCGCAGACAGCGCGGGAAAAATCCGACCCGACAGAAAATAGGAAAAATAGAATACAGGCTTATAGGTGCACCCACTGTGAGCAGACAAGGTGTCAGTATGCTCAACAGGAGATGTTTGAGTCATACATGGTAAAATAAAAAGGCTATTGTTACATTTATTTTGGGGGAAAAGTTGCATATAGTCCCTTTAAAGTGGTGAACTTATAAAGTCTTAAAAGTTTTGTTTTCCCTTCTCAATGCATTATGCATTTACTCACCAATAATGGCTGCCTTTTTAATTTGGTCAAGGGGGACCAGCTGCTCCCCATCCCCTCTGGTTGGCTTCCCACCTGAAAGGGGCATTATGCAGAAATCCCGTTTTTGTCAAACAGCGACCCCTAGAGTTACTGTGGAGTACTTAAATACCACTCACTCAGAGCGTGACATGGCCTGTTACATAGTATACAATAGTACATTGTGTTTAATTTGTCGTTTAATGAGATATAATATATGTTGTTAGTGGTGAGAATTTTCACGTGATTAAATACATAGATCCGACAATTTTAATGGTCCAGAGGCAGAACTTTTGCCAAGTGTGTCAGAGGTTCTGGGTTCTAATCGGTACTAGTAGTATAGTTTATTTTCCTCATCAAAACCGATTGTTTATTAGTGGTTGTATTTCAAGCAGGGACATGTTTTTTGTGCATTAGGTTTTGTGATTTCACCATAACAAAATATAGAGAGTCTCTCAGTCCCCGCAACGGATTCAGGCGCGCGTCACAACAGAACACTGTAACTTATCTGCACCACTGATCGCAGAGGCAACGAGCACTTTGGTCACTTGATTTAAAAAATAACACATTTCAGATCGCCTCTTATTTAACAAACGAACGAAATGAATGCTCTACTAGAGTTACCTGGAGATGTTTTATTTGTTTGTATTGGTACATCCGTGCCGCGAGAAGTTTCAATGGGGACATAACACACCCGCAAATTACGCCTATGCTCGTGTCCGACTCCTCGCTCGGTCAGTCTGCCGTTTCCTCTTTCTCTGTTCCCCGACAATGCTTTCCTAGCTTTCTGCATCTTATATGCCGGCTCAGCAGGGCTCTACAGTGCGACCATTTTGCTCGCATATGCCCCTAAAAAATCGATACGTGCGAACCGGAAAAATTATTTACGAGCACAATGTGCGAGTAACCTACCATAATCGAAAACGAGACGATAATTAAATAAAAACTAGTGTTGAATGACAAAAACTATGACGAAAATCTATTGACATTTTCGTCAACGAATAAAAACTAGACAAATCTGACGATTTGGGAAGTGATCGAGTCAGAATACTGATGTCCTCCGTTTGTGGTAACGTTAGATGCGCACATGTGTACTGCAACGTGCTGATCTACCCAGCGGCACACGGGTTGACATGCGCTGCATCTCATAAAACGCTAAAAAAATTTGTAA